TTTCCTTACTTCTCCCAACTTCTCCCTTCAGCAGTCTGAAAATAAACCTTAAACAAATCATCTGGCACTTTTATGTTTGCGTTGGCGAGCGTTCTGAAGCTTATGCTCAGAGACCCGCAGGTCTAAAATAGTAATAGCCGGTGTGCTAGCTGTGACGAACACCATCTCCCACAACAGATGAAATCTCCCACGGTTTTCAAATCTGGCAGCTCCAACTGCGTTCCTATTTATATGGTTAGTGACTCGCTTATTGCGAGCATAAAAACACCAAGAACAGAAATAGTCCCCTGGAATAGAAGTATTGTTCATTTGCTTTTATTGCTTTGTGATTAGAGTTTTAGAGAGACGGCTCCCTGGGGACACTGTACGTCCCCGGATTAATAGTTACAGTGACGCAGACGCAGTTTCAGGTGTTACAACCAGATTACATCACAGATCTGATCTTCTGTTATCAGTTTTCTTCCTCGGCAACAGGAAGCATAAACTGTCCCTTTTACTTCTGACAATATCCTATCAGTTCAATGTTAAAGGTATTTTCTTTCACTCCCAGATTTGGTCTTAAAAATAGACTTTCCTCTGCTGTCAGTTTTAGATGTGACCTCCTTGAAGTGTCCCACACTTTAATCATCAGGCTAATTACCCTGAGCGCTTGACTTAATTGACAGCTGTTTAAAGTTTAATGAATAAAAAAATGTATCGGTTCGTCATAGTGCTGTCCTTTAGCTCCGCTGGTGACATGACTCTGTCACAGTCAATCAGTCATCAAAGGTGTTGGTCCACCCTGAAATCTCAAACACTACGGGATGGATTTCTGTGAAACTGGGTAAATATGCGTGCCTCCCAAAGCAAGACGACTTGTCTTCAAATAAACAAGTCCTTCAGTGATGTTGTTGCTATCTTGATTATTTATTTCAGATGAAAGGCGAAAGCGAGGCGATTATGTTGTTGCCTGTGTGCGTTTAGATGTCTGTCTGCTAGCACAGCATATAAAATGTTTGAGTTTTACCGAGAGTGGCAGAAAGTAATCATTAGATGCAGAACAGATTAACTTTTGGCTTTAACTCAATTTAAGATGATCACCACAGTCAACTGAAGTTTTAAAAAACTCAACAATAATTGCCAATTTTTTAGATGTTGATACCCGAGTTGATGAACAGTAGTCCATCGCTATTTTGCGGTTCAAACTTCGCGGACTCGCTCTTTCGTGGTTTTTCAAAGTAAGATTGGACACGACACACAATTGGCTGATTGATGGATGAGCCGCATGATCTGCATGGAGTTTTATTTAAAATAAATTACTTTAAATGATTTAGCACCTGCTGCATCTGTGTGCAGCCCACAGGTACAGGGAGAAGCTCCCTCCTGCAGGGTGTCGTGATCTCCACTCTGCAGCGGAGAAGTGGGCGTGGCCGAGAACATGGGCGAGAAGGGGTTCTCTGCAGACCAAAAGTGGGCGTTTCTGGAGAATAGGTGTTTGTAGAGGGCAAGCACTGATTGGCTAGCTGTATTTGCTGGCTCTTTAGGTAAGTTACGTCAGCTCTTGTTTAAAACTGAAGGTTTCTACGAAACAGCATTATATCTGCTGTCAAACACAAGAAGATTCTCTTCAGTTCTTGGCTTGTAGGCTGCACCTGATACAGGTTGACTTGAGTGTGGTCTGGGTACAATGAAATATGAAGCATCTGAAGCGAAACCTGCTCCCATTTGTCAAAAAGTCTGGTCTCAATTAAAGATCATGAGTCCTGTAACAAGATAACGTCCCAAAACAAAAGCTCAAAACAAAATCTGCTCTTTAGAAGTTCTTCTAAGAGATCTGATCTATGAAAGGAGCTGAAACATGGAGTAGGATTGACCCTTAAAATGTGAGACAGCTGAGGAAGTTAACCAGTAAACAAAAATATCTTCTCCAGTTGCAGAAATCTTACAGAAACTGACAATCACTCATCTGCAGTGACTGATTTAAAATGTTGAACAAGAAAATGTGAAGTTAAAAGAAACATCTTTTGTCCCAGAGGCAGTTTAAGTGTCATTATTATTTTGGCTAGTTTATTTTTCTTTCTTTATGAATCGATTGTAACTATTTTCACATTATTCAAAAACCAAAATGGATTTTGTTTTTTAATGTAATGGCTAGGTATTAAAAAAACAAACATTTAGCTCTCCCCTCTACCCAGTTATGTTTCTCTTATTTTGAAATGTAACTGGAAGTTCTGTGTTAAGAGAGGCGGAAAGAGAAGTTATGGCGACGCCGCCAATGTTGAACCGGTTAACACCATAGACATAATATGTCTGTGGTTAACACAAACAACTTTTTTTTTTTGTTCAGCCTTTTTTTCGTCCAATCAGATGTGGCCCTCCGGACACGCCCATTTTTTCTATTATCCAATCATGTGTGACCCTCCAGATACGCCCATTGTTTTATCGTCCAGTCAGATGTGGTCTTCCAGATACGCCTTCCAAATTTGTCTGCAGAGCTACCTACTTGGCGCCGGCAGGTGGCAGAGAGTGGAGATCATGACATGCTGTGCTCTTTTAGAGCATTTAGAGTTTATAAACATTATTTAGAATATTGTAAGAGTGTAAAATACCTTCATATATAGCGTCCTTGAATACTCTCACCACTCTCATCGTCTCCCCCCATCTGCGGAACGTTCTACGTCACCATGTGCTTGTCTGTGCGGGGTGTTTTTTTCATTATCAAACTCTTTCTTCTCAGCCAAGAAGAAAGAGTTTGATAGGAATTTTTTTTTTGCCTCCAATTTCCTACATGCATTCAGTTTCACTACTTTCTTGTCTGTCTAAACAGACCTCACTTGTAAATGAGACTTCAAGGCTCATTGGGATTTATCTGTCTAAATAAAGGTTGAATGGGAAAAAAAAAAAAAACATATAAAAATATATATATATATATATATATATATATATATATATATATATATATATATATATATATATATATATAGATAGATAGATATAGACACACAATAAACTACCACTTACTACTTGTACTACTATTCCAATTTTGCAATTTTTATTTTATCGTGGGGGTGCTGAGAATGGAAACCCACACGATAAACGAGGGACTACTGCATTAGTAGCAGAAACTGATCCTCAACACATATTGTGATATTAATAGAATGTGCAAAATCTTTGTTTAACATTTTGCCTGTAACTATTTAGAGTCAACTTTGCTTGTTAGCAAAACATTTTATGAACCACTGGATGTATTCAAAGGAACTTTAGTTTAGTTTAGTTTGCTGGGCATTTCGTCAAAATTTAACAAGATTAACAGTTAAAAATAAATATTTTTGCTCAACGTTATAGTAAAGGTGTGTCTCAGTTGAACTTTTCCTTAATAAATGCACTAACGATCAAATCAGCTGCATTTCGCTGGGGCGGTGTGGATAAAGCAGCTGATTTGATCGTTTGATCCAGGAGTTCCGGAGCAAGACGAAGGTGGCTGGATATGGCAAGCCAAGTGTCTCATTAATAGCCACTTTTACCTGATAATGACACTTGGCTTGCCATATTGGTCGAGGGCCCTCTAGTGGCTGAAAATGGTAGTGTTCAATATTTCCTATGTCAGAATGAATGAAACCGTCAGATCTCAGCCAAAAAGTGGGTTATAAATATGGGAGAAAAAAAACATACATTAGTCACTTCAATGTATAAGTCGCAGGACTTACAAATTTATGAACAAAAGTGCAACTTATACAGGGAAAACTACGGTAATCATCTTGTCGTCCTAATATTGTATTAAAGCACATCTTAGGCCTCTTCTGTGGTGTACTTCCCCAGAAGAGGTTGTCATGTAAACACAGGATAGAAACACAATGGCTGTAGAAGGTGAAGCAATTGACATCACTTACTGTTTCCATTTGCTTTCTACTCTTTGCTTTTTCTTGTTAGCACATTTTATTTATTAACCTATATTCAACCAGACAAATCCCATTGACATCACAGATCTCTTTTGTAAGGGAGACCTTAAGGCAGTCTAACATGCATGGTTTTAGTCTGTGGGAGAAAACCGGAGTACCCGGAGAAAACCCATGCAAGCAGAAGAAGAACATGCAAACTCTACACAGAAAGACCCCAGGTCCAACTGGGGATTGACCCCAGGACCTTCTTGCTGTGAGGCAACAGTGCTAACCACTGAGCCGTCGTGCAGAAAGCAATAGGAGAAACCAGGGGATGCTCCTTTATTTTCAAAAACTTTATTTTTCTTGTGTTTCTGTTATGACATTGTAACACTTTGAGAAAATTATATTTTTGTGTAAAATTGCAGCATTCTACTTTATTTTTTCTCTCATTTTAACAAATAAAATCCAAATCTGCCATTTGTTTTTCTGGACAGCCCTTCTTTCAGCCTCCTTAAGATGCTTTGGGTATATCAGGAGCCTGCAAAATAAATGCTGATAAATTGTACTGTCTAAGTGTACGAGAAGAAAATAAAAAAAGCAGAGCAAAAGTCTTGCAGATTAAAAAGTTATAGGCAAAGATTAAACACTGCACAAAAGCTCCTGGGATCTGCAAGCACCAATTACAGCATGCTCTAAAGTTTCATTTTCTACTCCCAACAGGAAAATATTCACCGACGTTTAATAGAAATGTTCAGACTGGATACAGTAAAAAAAATATAAAACGTTTATTATTCAAATTGTGCCTATTGTACGAGATGTAAATGCATTAAGAATGGCTTTTATGTGACTAAACTACCAAAAAACAAATTGTATTTTTAGATGGTCACATTAAGTCCATTACCATTCTATCTGATTGTCGTGAGACACGTGCACAACTTTTATAGTCAGCAGTTAAACTTGCTTGATTAAAGCAAACATTATAAGCCACACTGTTTGAGTGGGATAACTGCAGGAACAGTAATTATTTCAGCAGCTGCAAACAACAAAAATCTATGACACTAATAATTTAACTCTAATCCAACGCTGAAATGGTTGTAAAAGAAAGTTACACGATCAAAACGAATAATAAAAGCTGCCAACCTGCAGGTGCTGCTTTTCTGCATCACTTCTGCTCTGTGGTAACCCGACAACTTGCAGAAGCCGTCATTGCTGTAGACGATGGGCCAGTCGACTATCTGAGCGTTCCCCAGGACAAAGTTGGTGTCTGTTTAACAAAAGAAACATAAAAAGGACAAACAGCATGACTGGTCACAGTATTTCCTGACACCTGTCACATACACACATTCTTAAATTATATTTTGAGAAACAGTTCAAGAGGAGTTGGTCGTCTGTTTGATAGAACTACAACTGAAAGCTTTTTGGTGACTTATACAGACAAACATCAAGAGCAAGAGCAAACTTTAGAATTAGGAATACTGCTTGAATATTTTATTAAGTTAATGTTCAAAGAAATAACTTTAGATTTGGGCTACGTTTTATACAGATAATTCAGCTTGGGTTATGGATATTATTATTAAAGTTATAAAGACATTCATCCAATCATCGCTTGTATTTATCTGTAAAAGATTAACTGAAATAAATCCTTGGAAATTTGTGTTCATCTTTGATGCAATGGTGAAAATTGTCATTATTGTTTACGATGGTCTACGGCTCATTTCACACTCCTTGCTGTCAGGATGTGTGTTTTTGGTAGGCCATCCATCCATCCATGCATCCATCCATCCATCCATCCATCCATCCATCCATTATTTTTACCCAGCCCGTTGTGTTTATTTTTTTAGATTTACTCTCTTTTGGTGGTTATAAATTTACATCTGTGTTTTGTGATTCTTGCATTTAGTCTTGCTCCTCGTATTTTTCATTTGTTTAGTCTTTGTGTTCTCATTTGAGCCATTAGTCTGTTTCTCCTGTTACTGCTCCTCCCTCTGGCCCCGCCCACTCCTCCATCCTGCCCCGCCCACTTACACCTATTCCTTGTCTCTCATCTTGCACAGCTGCATCCACTTCACTCATTAGCCTCAGCCTTTTTACTCCTTCAGTTCTCCTTCCTCAGCTGAGCACCACTGGCTTTGTTTGGTTCTCCTCGCACCTCCTTGTACTCTCTGTGCTCCTCTACAATCTTCAAATAGTTTTATATGTTTTGTGCTGCCTCGTCAGCATTTTGCTTTGTGTGAATAAAATTCTTCATTATCTTTTTCAAGCTCCTGGTGCAAACCTAACCATCCTAAAACCAAGATTTCATGCTATCAATTAGCAATCATGGTACGTGCTGTGAATGACTCTCAGCTACTACCACACCATCATTAGTCACTCTTTTTGTTTGCTAGTGTTGATTAGCTGTGCCAAGCTATCTTGCCTCGGGTTGACTCCAAACATTAATTAGTTGTAGATGTACGTTCAATGTTTACTTTCTCAGAGATTTATTAGAATGTGTTCATTGGTTCATAAAAAAAAAAAATTTAATATATTTTTATTTTGGCTTCCATGCCACTTATTTTAAACCTGTCAGCAGTTGTAGGAGTAAATATGGTGTTTGAGTGATTCAAGGAATAAACTACAATATAACATTTTGTTTGTTTATTTTTGATAGTGACTACATTATAAGGAATTAAAACATATGCAATTATTGTATTGTGTTTACACCTTGGGAAATTATTTAAAAGTTTTGTTTTTGATTCCAGTTTTACACATAACACTTGTTTCACTTTTTAGACAGATACTGTATTTTGTTTTCCAGTAACAAACATTTTAATGGTATTTGGTCTTTTAAAGTGAGTTTTTTTTTAACAATTCACAATAGAAGTTCAGGGTGTGGTGTTTTACTGCTGAGCTCAAAACAGCAACACTAAATTTGTATTTAAGGAGTTTTTTTTTTAATTCAGATATATTTCTGACAAAGTATTAAACTTTTAATCTATCCAAATTAAGTTACCATGAGAGAATAGTAGGCGCAAGAATTTGAACAATGACAGGAGAAGCAATCAACTTTGAGAATAAATGTGTAAAACAACTCTTCACAAGCACGACAATGTGACAACACAAGGGCCGGGAGAAGAAAATGCAAACGTCTGGCCACAAATTAAAAAAAGGACAACCACATCAAAAACACACTGTGAGTAACAACATTTCTTTAGACGCACAAAATGACAACTCAAAGCTATGAACACGACAGGAGACGATGCACAAGACACTTCATGCTGCCAGTGGGTTATTTACAATGATTTCATGCAGGTTGATCTTTAACTAAAAACAGAAAAGGTCTAAGTTTATCTCTCTGGATATATTAACCAAAGATTATTACTCCAGAAAAAAATGTAAAATAACAATTTTGCTACAGAACATTAAGTGAAACATTACAAGGATGTTGGAAAATCAATAAAGAGGAAGCTATATTAAACTGTACAATATACCTGTCTGCCTATGTGACAGAGTCCAAACTGAAAGTTTTGAAATAAAAAAAAAAAAGAAGGTTAACAGAGAACAGGGAGAAACAATGTCACACAGAGAAGATGGGTCAAAATATCAAACAAAAATCAGCATTTCTGGTGCATCGAGTTCACAATGTTCAAAAGATTTAGCTACAACATGAGTTTAAGGTTTGTTTCTGATCTTTTTTCCAATCATAACCCAGTAGTTCAGTCATCCATATGGGTTTTTATAGAAGTCATTGTCATTCATAAGCAATGCTAAAATATTATATGTGAAGATGCACAATAAGAGGTGAATATTAAACTGACCCAGACCAGTCTTCACAGCAAACCAGCACAAAACTTCATTCTACTCATTATTGTTTACAGATATCATTTTTATACTTTTTTGTTGTTGTTGTTGTTGCAAATGGACATTGAGAAAGAATAGCACTCAGTGATATTCCAATGTTTGTCAAAAATACTCACAAAAACGAGAATGTTGTATTAAATTAAAACTCATATTGGGGGTCAAAGAGTTTGGATACAGTGGATCTGCGAACAGAACTTAACAGAATGTCAAACTTTGACTTCATAGGTTTGTGTAAATTGTGGGGAGGGGTGTTGCTTCTTTGTGTTTTCTGTTTCTCGTTTCCAAACTAAATGCTAAGTTTTTGTATTACTTTAATTTATTCTTTGTTTAACCATGAAGGTCCCACTGAGCTACAACTGTTCTTTAAGTAGCTAACTTTCCAGTTAGCTACTAAGTATTTGGTTGAGGGTACGTTAAAAAGTACTAGATTAAGATCTCCATTTTCATCTTTGAGTGAGCTCCTCACCCTATCAGTAAGGCTGAGCCCAACCACCCTTATGGCCACTTGTATCCAGGAGCTTGTTCTTTCCATCATGTTTGAAGCCTCAAGACCACATATGTGAGGGTTGGAGCATATAGACCTGTAAATCCAGAGCTTTGCATTTTGACTCAACTATTTCTTCACCGTGACCAACCAAACCAACGCCCTCATTACTGATGAAGAGGCCCTGATCTGTCGATCCATCTACTGCCTCCACCATCACTCGTAAACAAGATGCCCAGATACTTGAACTCCTCCACCTGAGACAGACTCCTCTCTGAACCGGAGGCCATTCCACCTGTTTTTGGTTGAGGTTATTTGCAGAAAAATCCAAGATCTCCCATCCATCTGCTTAAAAACTAAACTTCTTCTTTAGTGTTTTCACTGTATGACCGAGTGTAGGCTTTTACACACACATCACCTCTGAAGCTGGACTAATGCATCTCCATTACGCCCCATGATGGTGTGGGATAATGAGGCAGAATGAGGGGTTTAAATCGATCCACTGGTTATTCAGTACTGATATCACATGTGTGAAAAAGCTTGTGATTTCAGGCTAGATGCAACAAGGACCCTCACCTCTGCACACTAAGCTCCTATACGCAGCCAGTTGAGTAACTCAACACTCTTGCTTTTGATGCATTTTTGAGCTACATTCAATGGGATTGGAGATTTTAGGTCATCTTTAATTATTAATGAACTGGTCCAAAACATCCTCCTTCCACATGCTGTTAAGAGCTGATGTTTAGTTCTCTAAAGTGCAAGGCACAGTCTGTGTTTGGCTGCTTGGACTGTACCATTATTTGGTCCTTTTGAGCTAAGACATGCATCAAATACCTGCTACATTTAGATGGAGAGAAAAATAAAAGCATCATATA